ATATATTTTGTTTTAAATAAATGGATATTTAATTCAAATATATGTATATATATGAACTATGAGGCAATAAATCCGTCGAATCTTGACTATGTAATAAGTTAATAACATATTTTTATTATTAATTGCATTTAAGCCATGTCTTATCTTTTCGGAAAATCTTTTTGTTTATTTTGTCGTGTATGTAACAATAAAATTCCTCTCAGTTTTACAAGAAAGTTTTTTTTCGTTTAATTATTGTGATTATTTGGTTGTGCGTCAAAGCGACTCTGGAGTGGGATTACAAATAGCGACAGCGCTACGAAGATTTCGCTATGTAGCGATTCAAAGCTACATTCACTTTAAAAATTTTTTTAGATATCGAGTGACTCAAAAAAATGGTATCATTTTGATAGATTTAGATTGGTACAATTGTTTTTCTGTGTATTCTTTTTCTCATATTTGCTTTATTTTATAATTTAAACATTTTTTTTAGAATAAAAAATGTATCGAATTTATAAGGATTTCCCACGATGAAGAAATGAAGTAATTAAAAGAAATATCTAAAAGCTTGACAAATTTTTCAAGTGTAACACTTCAAATCTCAAAAGTTATAAAAAAGGCAATTCGAGGCAACGATAATAATTATTAATATTATTATATTAACACTTTTATTACTAAATTTAAACCTTAAATTTTTTTATAACTAATAATTATAAACTAAATAAAACATAATAATAATAAAGAAAAAAAGGTGATATTTATTTCCAATTTCTATCCTTACAAAAAATCAAGAAAATAATTCATCTTTATCCAATAATAATAAACTATTTACTTTTCTTTTTTATATTAATAATTAAATATTTATTGCATATTTTATAAAATATTTAATTAAATTTTATTGCAATATTTATTATCTGTTTCATAGGATTAAAAGTTTTTATTAGACATTGTATAAACTGGAAAAAAAATTTAATTAAAAAAATTTTGAAGATATAACCTCGGAAATAGAATTTTTGTTTTCACGCAAGGGTTCACTAAAAAAATGTATAGGGTATATTTTGTAAGTTAAAGAATTTTTCAGGAAATGAAAATTGAAATCAATTTATTAAAAAATAATTAATTAATTTAATTAAAAAAATTTATCAATTTTTAAATTTAGGCTTGTAAAGAATATCCTAATTTTAAATGTCATGTAATTATTATTTTTAATTCTTGCAATAAGATTAATTTTCTTAATTGTTATTTATATTAAATTAAATTTAAAAAAAATTTATTTCCTTTATAAATTATTTTAATATTAAACTATATAATTTATTTTTAAAGTTGTTATTTATTAAATTAATAGGTTATTTACAATATTAAAGTATAATTTATTTCAATAATAAAATTTTGATTCTCTCACTCGGTAGTATTTAATAATATAAGAAGATGATATCGATCATTCCGAGTCAAGGATTAAATAAAAACATTATTCTTTACGTTTCAATGGCACAGCCATCCTCTTCAGAAACTGAAAGTTTATTACAAAATATAAAAAAAAAAAAAAAAAAATTTACCGTATGTTCCTAATTTATATGAAAAAACGTCTTCAATGCTTAGTAATTATAATATTTTAACGATTCCTACAAATAATAATGCTATGAGTCATAATTTGATCAGAAAGGGTAAGGACAAAAACAAAAAAACAGAAGTAACTAATGTTGTTTATAAATTAAATTGCAAAAATTGTACCGCATCTTATGTTGGTGAAACAAAGAGAATGGTGGGGGTTCGCGTTAATGAACATAAAAAATCAAAAGTTGGTGTCACTTCTACTCATAGAGATTCTAAAAAGCATGATTTTGACTGGTATAACTTTTCAATTCTTGACAGAGAATCAAATGAAAACAAACGCTTGATATCCGAAATGATTCATATTAATCTGCAAAAAAATGCAATAAACAAAAAAGATGACACTCAAAATCTCAGTAATTGTTACTTCCATTTTCTCAATGACAGAAAATATTCATAACTTTTATCCCTGTCTAATAATACCTTGACGTTTCTCTATTTACATTATTGAAATAAGGTCAATGAACCGAATTTCACTCTACGCTTCTTTATACAACTTTGTAATTGATCAGTGTCTATTAGCAATCGTGTCAATTGAGACGTTTAATCACTTTTAAATTTACTTATTCAAAAAGAGTTTTTTTGAATAATGTTTTCATTTTTTTTAAAGGTAAATTTAGTCATTTAATTTTATTTTTTTTATAAGAAATATTTTTTTCTACAAATGTGTTAAAATTTAAAAAAATTTTTTTTTTTATATATTTTGTAATAAACTTTCAGTTTCTGAAGAGGATGGCTGTGCCATTGAAACGTAAAGAATAATGTTTTTATTTAATCCTTGACTCGGAATGATCGATATCATCTTCTTATATTATAATTTATTTCGTCACTAGTTAATTATTTCATTTGAAACTAACAGTTGGCAAACATGAAGTTGAAGAATTGATACCACCTTCATGTTGTATTTGTTTGCTACGTAGAGAAAATATTTTAGGAAATTGACATGAAATCTATATCAATGTCCTTATCTAGAGGGGTTATGTTTATATTGTCTTCTAAATTACCATCTTGCAGTTTAAGCTATGAAGAAACTGTCAACGGTATTTTATTTTGGTCATGATTTGGAACAAATTTCACTAAAAATATGTAAGTTTTTTATTCTAAATAACGAAAAGCGCTACATAGCGATTAACGCTATTAGTAATCCCACTGCTGGATACAGTGGACCGCAACATTTTCGAGTCCACTAGAGACATGTACTAATGATGCAATATTATGGCCTTACAATGTAGTATTTTGATAGTCTTCTATTCTCCCTCCTACACTTCGTTACTTTTTAACCTATGTATCTACTTCTTTCCTTCTAATTTCACTCAATCACATATTTACCAAAGGCTTTACCAACAGATCGTTAATTTCCTTGCTTTATCATTAATTTAATAAATTTATTTAATGCTAAAAATTTTAGCAATCTAGAAATTTTTGAAAACATCTATAGAAATCACATAAGTTTTCTTAGCGTAGCGAACAACAGGCTTACGTTTTAGCACAATTACTTGCTTGCATGGTAAGCTCACCGAAAGATTGTAATTTAAGGTTGCACAATAAGATTATCGCAAGATTTATCAGTAAGCTTGCACGATAAGTTTGTAGCAAGGTTGGTGCATGGTTGCCAAATAAGCTTACTTTAAAACTAAACAATTTTTTTTTAATGTTTCGTATTTTATTCCGTATTTTTTTTCTGATCAGACAATACGAAACAGATTCTAAAACCATTTTTGCAAATTTTCATTTAAAGATGCAGGGAAACTTTTATTTCACCTCACCTTTTTTTAACAAAATTTAAATAATTATACATTTAGATTTTAAGTTTAAAACACGTACTTGAATATGTAATTTATTATTTTAATATTTGTAGCTTGAGAAGTATTATTTGTTACCATAAAATATGTTCTAATGTTAACATTTAATAGGGACACAAAGCTGCTATATGATTGCCAAATTTGTTGCACCTGTAGCACTTCGTTCCTTTTCTTCGACTATGTTGACAGTCCTTATCTCTTTTTATTTTTCCTCTTCTGGACTTATAGTCTTATCCTGCATAACCAAAAATTTTAATTCATCTTAAGCAACGCTTTTACCTTTTGTATTTACCGATACGAATTATTTAGTCTTTACTGAAGGTACTGACCCGAGGCGAAATTTAAGACCAACTTTTTTAGAAGTAAAGTAGGGTTAAACAGAACCACTTTAGCTTCCTCAACTAGTCGCAAATTTCCCTTTTTTCCACGTTTAAATTCAAAGTAGGGTCTAAAAATTGATTAAAATATTAAAAATTTTGAAATTGCTCTAATTCTATTAATTTTGATTCCTCGTGGAGGAAGCTTTGTAGTCCTTTTATTTATAAAATTTTTAAAAATGGTGAAAACAAATTTTCCTCTATATAGACACATGTTATATGAGATCCTGATCAATTGTCCGGATGTATGTATGTATTTGTATGTGTGTGTGGATTGTTTTTGTGAACACGATATCTTTAACAGGTTTTAATGGATTTGGATAAAATTTGGTAGGCTTATTTAACACATTAATCTCTCAAAAATGACGAGAGAATTTTTAAAAATATCCCCAAAAAAAATTTTATCGTCTTTTTTTCAAAAATTTTTTTTAATTGAAAAAATTTTTAAATCGAAAAATTTAAGGTAATATATAATATAGTCGTCTTCCTTACGGTAATATGAATCGATTGATATATATATATATAAAGTATAGATTTGATTGAAATTTAAAGAATTAATGAAAGTTAAAAAATAAAAAATTCACATTTTAGGTAAAAAATGTTGTGTTTTTTTAAATTCAAGTTGATGAATAAAATAATTGTATTCCTTGCATTGAAACGAATCGATTTTTGAATATATAAAGTATATGTTACACCCAAAATTAATTAAAATTTTCTTAATTTTTCAAAAAATTTAATTAATTTAAAACAGTTTTCAACTCGAATTTTTTTAAATCAATCAATTGAATTGGAAAAATTCATAGCTTCCTCCACGAGGAAGCAAAATGTTTATGAAATAAATATAAAGGACCCCCTCCTTTTTTTAAAACGCTTCAAAATATGTTAATTTCTATTTTTAAAGGGTAATGATTAAAGTATCTCATTTTCAAAAAAAGGAACAGAATCCTAAGAATTTTTGTGTTTTCTAAATATGTGTTTGAATTTTCCATAAAATTTAAAGTCTATTTTATCTCCTAAAGAATAAATGACCTTTTCCCTTTAAATTTCCAAGGCTTTCTTTAATCATATTTTCTATTTTTGTTTTTGAATCTTTCCTCAGGTTTGATGTTCCTCTCTCCTCTAATGATACTTCTTTATTACCTACTTACTTCTTCTGTTTGTTTAATTATGTCCTTCTGTAACTCTGTATATGTTACATGTGTAATCTGATCTAATGCGTGTAGCATTTCAATAATTCTATCACCCTGTTTTTCATAGTCAACTCTAAGCAGCGCGGTTAAGTTAGTGAGTGTTTGTTGGATAATTTTTTCATCAATTTTTGCATCTTCTGTTATTTTCTTTAATGTATGAGTCATTCGATCCACTACAAATAAGAGCTTTTTGCAGAAATTGTCTACTATTTCAATTATTTCTTCTATTTTGATGTCTTGTTTCTCCAGTTTGTCTAAAACTATAAATTCACTACGTTTATACATATGTGCGATACATCTTTATAAAGAATCAAGTTTGCTTGTTTGAAAAACAATAATTATCGTTACTTTGGATGAAAAGTTATTAAAATTACCTTCTTTAAGTACTTCAATTGACGAAACGTCTTCTTCCTTTATTTTCAATTCACCTTTTATATCTAGCTCTTTTTCCTCACTTACCTCTACATCGTTATCTGTCTCTTTATCCGCCTGTAAAAATAATTTTAATTATACTTGTAAGAGTACTAAATAATTTAATATCCAAATTCAGAAATCGGACCTATTCCTCTATCTACCTACCTCATATCCTTCTTCTAAAAACCCCTCCTCACCAACTGTAGATAAATCAGCAAGTCAACTCTTTGAAAAAGTCCTTGGCATTATAGCCGGTTGATTATGCGAAATTTTCTTCTTCATCCATTTTTTAAGAGCCTTCCATTCTCCAGTAGTTATCTTTCCTGCATCTAGACATTGAGACAAATAATTTTTATTTATTATAATTATCCTAAAGGATTGTTATAGTCAAAATAGTTTTACATTCGACTATTTCAGGATATGTCTTCTTTTAGAAAACAAAAATTACCTGTATAATAAAGAACACATTCTTTCACTTGGAGTGTTATATCCTTTCCTTCTATTAATATTGTAATATCGTCATTTGGATGCTTTCTATTCAATCCAAACATTAAATTTAAGTTTTGCCACAGTTTATCTAAGAAGCAATCATCTATAATAACACAGTAAATTATGAAAATTCGCAATTTGGCATTGCAACAATAGCGTTGGATTTTATTTTAATACCCCAGGTGGAAAAGTTCCCGGTAGTGACTATCGGTAGTCATTACCGCTCCCGCTACCGGAATATTCACTACCGGTAATCACTACCGGTAATTCTTCTGGTACTACCGGTAGTCACTGCCGGTAATTTTTTCGTTACTACCGGTAGTCCCGGAAAAATTACAGGTAGTGAATATTCCGGTAGCGGGAGCGGTAATGACTACCGGTAGTCACTTCCGGGAACTTTTCCACCTGGGACATCACAATTTTTTTAAAAATTGATAACGTTTTAAAAAATTTTATATTTAGGACAAAAATCTCTACGATGGACATAGTTTTAATAAAATACACGAAAGCAATAAGGAGAAAGACAAATTTTCCTCTTTGTCACATTCATTCCGGCATCTATTCCTCTCTTCGTCTTACTAACATCGACCTTTCATTCAACAGGTCCATTCTTGTTCAATCACGTGACTTTTATTTTTCTTAAAATTATAATTATTTTAATAATATCTTCTTTATAAAACTTTAATCATCTTTAAATTTCATTTAAGTATTATTCTTTAAAACACATCTTTCATATTTAAATGCAAGCACTTATTTCATTAAAAATACGTATTCCTCAAAACATTTTACTTTATATCCTAACTCTTTTTCACTATATGCATATCTTACTAATATATTTTACTCACCACATTTGTCTGTTTTCTTGGACATTTTACTCTCCATTATTTTTATTAATCGTCAAGACAAATTTCAGATTTTTTCGACTCAAGTTTTTCTCACCAAACAAACACAAATTTTCACTTTTTTTATTTTTCCAACGCTGTGGAATTGTAAATAATGTTTTTCAACTCACTGGGCTTATAACCTGTTGGTAAGACAGGAATTTAGATAATAGTCATAGGGAAAAACAAGTGTTTCTTTCATTTTAAAAATTCGAAAATAGCGATTTTTGATTAAAAAAAAAATTTTATAATCAAAATATATTTTTAAATATTTTAGAAATATTGGTTTTTTGAAAAAGAACATTTTGTTTTAATTTTAGAGTGGCCAAGATTTTTCAAAAACGACTTTGGTCATCGCTTTTATGATTATGAAACAAATGAAACAAAATAAAACAAAATTTCAAATAATGTCCTTTTTCAAAAATTTAGTACCTCTAAAATATTTTAAAATATTTTTCAATTATAAAATTCTATTAAATTATTTAAATAGATATATTTTAATATGAGGGGCTGATAGAAAAAGTTCATTAAAAATATTGAGAGCAAAAATAGATTGGAATATTTTGATTAATTAATCTACTTAGTAAACACTGTGAGAAACGATTGATTGCGAATTAACACTTCATTAGTAAGAGTATTTTTGCTAATTTATATTAGTTACTGTTACCATTTAATTAGTTAGCCTAACCATTTCGTTAGTATGGTAACTAATTAAATAGTTATTCCAACCAACTAATTAGATAGGCCAACTAATAAAAATAGTAACCACAACTACTAAATTAGCAGCAGTATAGTTTACTAACTAAAAATGATAACATCAACCAATCTTTTCTCTCAGTGAAGAAATTTACACTTTTTTGTAGAAATTTTAGGTTTAGAATATTTATTTAAATAATAATTGTAAAAAAAAATTCATGAACATCTCAACCCACTTTTGTTATCAACTTTTCAAATAAAATGTTTCTTTTTTTAAAAAAAAAACTTGTAAAATGAAAACAAATTTTCAAATATCACTATGTATTCCCTTATGACTAGTCGTAACTCCATCAACAGTATTATTACTTACACGCTTGTAACGTCTGTTTACACGAATTGATATATAATAAGCTCACAGAAGTACCACGCTTCACGACTTGGAGTGTACAGAAATGCAGTCAAGTACAATTTGACAAAAATATAACTCACAAAGAGCAGACTGGTGGCGCTTAGCTTTTTTTTCATTCATGAAAGGAAAGATTATCGAATGCATCAATATTTCAAAAAAATGTTTTCGTCTCTATTACGATTAGTGGGTGGATTCATGTTTACAAGCATAAATAAAAGAAAATCCTTATATTCATGAGGTTTTTGCATAAAAAATTTCTCAAAATGAGAAGTATTATCCGCTTCTAAATGCCCTTGACATTTTACTTTAAAAATGATCATATTTTTCTATATGAAAAAGAGGATTTATTTTCCTAATTAGAATGGAAATCAACCGAAAGATTACTATTCAATTGAGATGCTTTCATATGTCCGACTCTCCAGCAGTACTATAAACGCGTTCTTTGATGTGATTTACAAATTTTATATCGCTACCAACATTAAAATCCGTTTATTAAAATGTTTTTCCTTTATACTTCAACTTTAAAGGATAAGAGCAAAAAATATCTACTTTTCTCCTTTTTATTACGCTACCAAAGTAGCACGTAATATCACCGCCTCAAGGTCATATTAAATATAATACACTGAAAGACTTTTCATTTCAAAAATTAATATAATGTATTTCAAATTGGAGACATTTGTATTTTTGTACTGTTAGAAATTAGTACGTTTCATCTCAGATGAAATAAAAATTTCTTTATTTCAAAAGCCTTTAGCGGCAAAACAACAACAGCAGATATTTTTTTTCTGCCTTTTTACAACGTTTGTATTGCCAATAGCTAGTACTCGATTGATTCACATAGGTTTCTGGCACTTTTAAAAATGATTAAAAAAAAACATTTGTGCCGATCTATAAAAAAACTAATTTCTTCTCAGCACAGTGTACAGGTGTCTCCTCATTTTGCTATTCGCATAAAATCAACGTACGGAGTTACCACGCACTTGACATTTGTCAGATTTGATTCATTAGTTTTTTTGTCAAAAGTTACTCAAAGATGTCCACAAGCGAACCATGACCACATTCGAACCTCTTACCCTCCCAGTAATAAGTGAGGAATTCAAAAGAAATGAAAAATTTTAACTTTTCATTGAAAAGGATAAATTATCAATTTTTTTTAATTCCGTTTCTATCTAACTCAATTTCTAATAAATTCAGATTTAATATTTCTCAAATTCTTTAATTCTTTTAAATTCCAAAATACTGAATAAGTAATTCGGACTAAATATTTCAATTATATCTGAAACTCAATTCCAATCAATTCCGTATTGATATTTCACTAACTTTTTACTTCCATTGAATTCCATAATATTCTGAAATATAAGTACGTTTGAAATAAAATATCTACAGTTCTGTTGATACGGCTGCGCGGAACAGTTGTTTGGCTCCCACGATGAAAATCGAAAATTCAAATCTTCGGACCGTCAAAATTTATCTGTACAAAATTTTGAAACGGAATTGAAAAGAATTTTAATGGCATTATTTTCGAGTACCCAAGATGGATACAAAAGAATTGAACAGAAACGAAATTCAGAAGAATGAAAAATTTTTAATTCTTTTCAATTCCTCGCTTTTTACTGGGTTACAAAAACAGAGATGTCCCCATTTTGAAATATTTTAGATTAATTTTTTAAATGAAAAGTCTTTCAATGTATTGAGATAATATTAGGCACTTGAATGTTTTATTATTTAAGTTTAAAAATCTATTAATACTTATTAATGTATAAGAATAATTCTTCTGAAATACGTTCTCTATATAAATGTTTCTGAGAATAGAAATTAACCAAATTGAAAATAAATTTCTCCTTTGTAATGATCTTTGTATAAATTTAGAATAGTGTTATTGATTCTATAATATAGATTAATTATTTGACCAAAAGTATTTTAGAATTGTTAATTATAAATTCCATAAAGCCAATGGAACATTCTATTTATAAGCTCGTGGATGTAATTCCAGCGTTGGATTATTGTTATACTCTCTAAATCTGAATTAGTAAAAATGTTTACTAATTTAAATTAGTGACTCACTTTCTGCTTTAGAATTAGTTAAATTTTACTAATTTTTAGTAAAAGTTACTAATAATTAGTAAAATTTTACTAATTGAGAAGCAAAAAGTGAGTCACTAATTCAAATTAGTAAACCTTTTTACTAATTCAGATTTAGAGAGTATGTTTTATGTTCCTGTGAAGGAGAACTATTGTTGAAATTTGGTACTATTTGTGCCCTTATTAATGGTTGAAGACTGTTAGTCTAGTCTTAAATCAAGACCCTTTCACAGAAAAAACTTAGTCTCATTTTGATATGCAGCAAAAATGAGTCAATGCCAAACGACATAGACAGTGGCACCACCAACCTGACTTATTTTTGCTGCATATCAAAATGAGTAGCATACGCTATCATTTTGAGTTCAGGTTTTTTCTGTGTTAAGTAGCCTCTAATTATTTACATTAAAAAAACAAAAAAGTTATAATTGGTTTTAGGAAAGTTTTTTCTGATTGACTTAGAGGATGTTTATGCACTTTTTAAGTATTGAAGATTGTTTATTGGGTATTAAATTAATAGCCCTTAAATAGTCTTTAATTATTTGATAATTAAAAAAATTTTTTGTTGATTTTCGAAAAGAATTTTGTTGTTATGCTCGATGTGAGTGCTATTTGTCACCTTTTTGAAGGTTAAATAGTGAGCATGAGAAAGAGTGTGTTTTTATCTTATTTTTTCATTTGTACATGATAAAAAGCAACAGTAGGTACTTTATTTTTATCTTCTTACTTTTTATGCCATTAATGGACTTTTTTGGACGTGGTAGATGAAAAATTTAGTTTTAGAAGAACATATTTTTTCGCGAAAACTATGGGAGCAATTAAATTCGGGATAGGGCACATAAAGAGCCTTTAATTTTTAGGGTAAGTTGTTGGTAAAAATTAGTTATATTGTTTGCATTGACCCTATTTAAATATATATATATATAAGATGTCCTGATGTTTTTTTAAATAATGACTACGACGCTTTTGTGAAAAGTGAACATACTGTTGATAATTATTTTACATTCAACAAAGTCTTACGTTAACGTGATGTGCATCAAATCACCGATGAGACCATTGTGTTGATGCAGAGGTTCTCGTGACGTTTCACAAATATATCTCAAGAGACATTGCTTACCAGGAAATCCCAATCTGTAATGTAAAAGACGATCGATCAGAATCTCTGATTGGTTTAATAATAACTTACGAAAAAAGAGATATTATTTCTAAAAATTTATATGAGGATATAAAATACCACGATTTTTTGAATTATAAATTTAGATATTTTTTTTTAAGACAACATGTGTGAAAATATTTTGTCGATAATGAAACCACTATGGTTTTTTTTTCAAATTTTTCCCCTTCATAAATTGTTCTATATGTCAGACAGACCCTAAAAAAGAAAGTAACATGACTAATATTCTAGGGGATAAAATATTATTTTACCAAATATATCCTTAGTTTTTTCTTTGTTTTTTTTTAAGTAAAAATACAATAACGAAATAAGGATCTTTTTGAAAAGTTTTGAGTATCTACTAAAAAGAAACGATCTTTCCGATAAATTCAGTGAAGGACCTGTCTGTGATAGAGGAGAGCTGTGCGGCAAAACTAAAAGTAGAGTTTTGAAAGAACACAAAGACTTTAACTAAGTGTCTCGTACTTATATAGCTATGAAGCGAGCATCGAGTACTTTAAGAAATTTCTAAGTAAACAATCCTAAGAGAATTTCCCTTTGCGCCGATCACTACTGAAAACTCTTTAGTAACATGAACGTTTTATTGTGGCTTTCAAAACTTCCGGATATATATATATATATATATATATATATATATATAATAATAAAGCATTGAAGTAACATTATCCAAATTTATTCATGTCGAAATTCATCTTTATTCTTCGAAGTATAAAATGAAAATTGAATAAAATTATTGTTCTTAATTCAAAATATTGACAAAACTTTCTCTTCCTTTATTTCCAGTACAGAAATATTGTCCTTCTTTTATTTAAAAGAAGACTATAGTCAGGGCCTCCCTAGTTTTCCCTGTTTGACAAAAATGTAAATGAATTAGGTTTTTAACATTACATTTTGTAAAAAAAATATATAAACAATCTTTATACTAGCGCTTTAATAATTTTTTGATTTTAAGAGTTTCACCGCTGTACTTATTATTTATAACGAGAGTAAGAAATATCTTTATTGAATATAATTTTTGCAATCTCTCATAAGTCTGCGGAAAATTAAGTTCACTTATAAATTTCTGTGAATATATTCTGCCCATTAGTACATTATATATTATTCCTCCTCTTTACCACACATAATCCCATTTAGTGCTTTACTTCAATTTCAAAAGTTGGTAGAGTACCCCAACAATATGGAGAGATGGGATATAATCATTCAGGTACACAAATTGATATGGAATGAAGTGGCTGCAAGAGCAGAGTCAACAAATTCAGCAGAATGTGGATGAGCTTTGAACAAAGGAAATTCAAATTAAATATATGTCAATAAAAAAAAAATTTAATTTATTTTTAATAATATTCGTTATTCTTTTTTATTCATATATATTATAAAAGTTATAATTAGAAAAAAAAAGATTGCGTATATACATCGAACAGAAATCCAATTAACAGAAATTTGCAACATAATCAACAGAATTCGCTTGAAATTCTAATCATAAGGGGGTTTTAGAATTGCCAATTACAAAGCCAGTCTCGAAGATTTGAAATTCTAAATAGAATATTCTGAATAGATTGGATGTTGAATTTCTGTTTTTTCTTTTCTTTTATAATTAAATTCAAATTTCATAAATCAACAAATATGTTTTTTATTTTGATAAAGTAGAAAAAAAGCAAATTCTGAAAATTCATTAAAGTTTAACAAAATTTTCAAAAAATTATCCAACGCTTATATTATTAGATTCAAAATTTTGAATATTAATTTTTTTACATTTTCTTAAATTATAGATCAGTTTCAAACGGTTTGCACCACTTTTGTCAACTTTGAAAAATAAAAATCGACATTTTAAAAATATGGGTTTTTCAATTTGTTTTTCTTTATAAATATCAAATATTACAAAAATTTGTCTTTAACATATTACCTGTAAGTTTCATTGTGGAACCGCCATAGGTTTTCGAACAAAAAATAGGAAAATGACGATATAAAAAATTACCCCATGGTTTGCAAGATTTTAGCAAGGTTAAAAAATCCGTCCCTCACAACACAAGGATATTCAGGATATCCCTGGGACGTCCTGGGGATATCCATTTGCTTTTGGCGATTCGGATATCCCTAAGATATCCTCTGGATATCCATGGACATCTCTAAGATATCCCAGGGATATCCAAACCGCCGAAAAAATATCGATATCCCCAGGACGTCCCAAGGATATCCTGAATATCCTTTTGTTGTGAGGGGTTAATTAAAATTTTTTTTCCTATGGTTCGCATGATTTTAGCAATGGTCTATAAGTAAAAATAATGTTAATTGTACCATGGAAAATAGACATGAGCAATGTTTATTGAGATTTTTGCCAAGGTTTAAACAATGGGTCTAGTCGTTCTTACCTTGGTAATCGATTTCGCCCATGGTTTTTATGATTTTATCCATGGTTCGATTTCCACGCGGGGTGGAATTCACCTGAACTAATTAAACTGTTGGTTTTAAATAAATTTTTTTCTGAGTGTAAATACAGCAAAAACTTTAAAAATCGTGAATTAGAAAAGAAGTACTCAACGTAATAATAAACATAGGTACAAATGAAATTAAACGTCTACGTTCATTGTTTATAGTTGAATTATAACAAAAGCTAAATAAACTTTGCATATACACGTGTGTTGTGTGAATTGGGATGTCTCAAATGTACACTTGTATATATATATATTTGAGGTTCTTGGAGATGAAATTGCTTGTAGGATGAAGCTTGGGAGAGGCGAAGCGATTTCAATTGTTAATTGTAGGGACAGTGTATGCCTGAGATCTTGGTGTGCATTGACCTTAACGTTCCCTAATATGCAAATTCAGCTGCCACAACGAATTTGAATCTTCACCACATGTACAGATATGATGCACACATACACATGGCAACATGTTCAAATATATATACAGTCACACATATTTTAGATAAACGTGCACAGATGCAACTGTCATCGTGCGAGCCGAGTTGTTAGCCCCAGCAAGCCCCGCAAGGAAAACGAGAGATCGACAGATGAAATGTAACATCAGAAGCACTAATCTTATTCAAGTTTCAAACTGCAGAAGGGTTTTCCCAATCCTAATGTTACGCCATTGCCCTTTCAGCAGAATTACTAACTTCTCTAGTTAATATCTCATCGTGATTATACACTTCATAGAGGGAGGAAATTGTATTACCTCAACTCTCTGTTTAAGCAAAGCCTAATGGACAAAGGACTGCGTTATCAGCACTTCGATGAGTTTCGCTACTTAATTTTCTGACCAACTCTGTTCGAAATTACCCATTTTCACGATACATGATCCTTCAGATATATATGTATACATTTATGTATCAAGCTTCGAGGTATTAATAATTCTCTATATTAAATTGTATCAGAAAGATTTTAATTTATTTTCCTTTTCTTGATGATAATTTCCCTATTTTGTTATACTCAATTAAATTTCTTAATAATTCACTATAAAAAACCCCAAATGTTGTATGTACTCTCTGTAATTTGAATCAGTGAGATTTCACTAATAAAATAGTTGAAATTTAGCAACAGAATCACTTCAGTAAGATTTCCACTAAAATTCAGTCACATTTCACTGAAAATTAGTCGAATTATTACTGATATATACAGTCAAATCTGCATTATCATTAATGGGTAAAACAGATTTGACTATTTCAATCAACTTTAGAAGAAATCTTACTCAAGTGCACGGAGTGAAATGTTAAGTCAATTTTACTATAATGGCAGTTAAATCTGCTAAACAGAATCGCTAGTTTTGGACGGACTGAACTTGTAATAGGAATACTAAACGACAATATGGTAAGGTAGGAATATAATAGTATATTCTACCTTACCGACAATCTTACTAAACGGGCGTTGTAAATCCTACTCAACATCTCGTTGGCGATACTGTCCGAGTAGTAAATACCCTTTAAAGATTTTACTAAACGTGTTTAGTCGTATGGATTAAAACTTTTCTCTCCGTGTGATTATAAGTTGTTTAATTCCAATTATTTCATCAGTGAAATCTCACTGATACAAATTCAGAAAATACTTATGCAGTAGTTATGATGATTTCATAGAAAAACTAAAACAAAACCATTCTTGTTTAGTTTAAAATGTTAGATCTCTATTTACATCTGTTAGTTCTAAACAAATACTTGATTTTTTTAACCGATTATATAACTCTGAATTAAAAAATCTAATATATACAAAAAAGGGTTTTATTTAAATATTTTTGTTAAATGTAATCAAAATATCACTTACGTTTTATGGAAATGAAAAAAAGTTTTGAACTCTAAAAATACATATTGTAATAGGAAAAGTTCTAGTTTACTTAAAATATCGATTGATTCGATTGAAATACAGTGTATAAATTTTGTTTTCTTTTGCAATTTTCCAAACGAATAATTTACATTTGTTTATAAATTAAAACAAATATTGACATTCACTCGTTCCATATATTTGCGAATGAATCAAAAACTAGTTTTTTCCTCTAACAATACTTTATATAAATGTAGAAAAGGACTTAAAATTTTATTGTTGTTAAAAAAGAAACATTGTAAGTAATAAAAAGAATAACAAAATTTTTGACATTTTTGTGATTCAACGATTCAAGGTATTTAATTATAAAGTTGAAGTTTACGTGATATTTAGGATCATGAAGGAATTGAAACTATAGATGGTTACTTTGTTTCTTTTTCTGTTTGGAAATATTTCATAGAAATTATTATGTACTTTTACAGAAAATAAAAAACTGAAGAGGAACCAAATTAAGATCAAAACGTCTTACAGAAAAAGAAACCAAATAAATATCTAGTTTCAATTCTGGCATATGTTCCTATAAATACCACGAAAACTTCAACTTTCTACTATAATAAAAAGAATACCTAAAATATTTTAAAAAAATATTATTTCTGAACAATCTATTTGAATCAAATAATTTTTCTGTATTTGAAACAAATATTTAATTAATTCAAACAATAATTTTATATTTGAACATTAGCTGTAACAAACATTTTCCTTCAAACACAACGGGTTCTATCTGACTGAAAATATCAGAATATGAAAAATATATATGAAAAAATTACCTACCCCCTACCTGCTATGTATAATATTTTACATAAAATCCTTTTCTAAATTGCTTGTACCTATATTACATTGCATTATCTTACCTTATATACCTAAAAAGATTCACTGGAAATGAAAAAAAGTAGAAAAAAATTTACCCCTCTCAGAAGAATAGAAGAAATGACCTGAAAATGGGTAAAACACTATATTTTTTCTAGTCTTAGTTCTTCGCGCGAATGGTTTCAACAAAATCAGCCCATTTACAGTTTATCTTCCTCAAGAGTAATAGGTATATCGTTCATAGTGCAGAATACTAACGATTCGAACTTAGACTCCAATACAGCGTATATCGTTTTGCGATTTATTGAGTGTCGTTGACCTGCAAACCGTTTGTCCCGATGTTGACGGCTCTCCACGCTCGATTGAAATTCCGTGATGTTATTGGGTAATTCATAATTGGCCTCGAAGAAGAACGCAACGGAAATCGATTTTGTCGACACAGGATCGTCCAGGGGAATGGCGAGGGCGAAAAAGAGCTACAACACATACCAAATGAGAAGCAGAAAATGATTAACGATTTTAATTAAAACTGAATATGATAATGTAATTTAGAGTATATATATATATATAAAAAATATCGATCTCTCTGGAACAGAGTATATGTATATATATATATGAGAGATTCTTTTTCAATCGCCCCAGCCCAAAAAGTCAATGTTCTGGGATTGGCTTCATACTTTGGTAAATTGTTGTCCTATATGATAGTAATAAATCCCTAAAATATAAACTAATTAAAAAAATATTTGTAGAAAGTAGAGGGGGTTGAAGTTTTGACGTTAAGGGTAACATTGTCATTTTCAAATCCGTTTAACTATGACAAAAGTTAATGGATTTTAATTTATCTATAATGAATTTTATTGCATTTTTCACGTACTTTTCAAAAATGTATACAAAATTTAAAAAAAAAAATTTTTGACCCCTTTTTTTTCAAAATCAACCCTTATTTTTCGATTTTCACCCCTTCGGGAATTTTTTTTTGTTTTTTTTTTATTTTCATTGGAAAGCTGAGGTTTTTTCCCATAAGCTATGTAAATATGAAAATGGGACAACAATAATTTTGTGAGAAACATAATATTAAATTAGGCGGTGCCTATCTAAATCCTCAAAGATGATCTCCAGGTACATCCCTTATCGGCACCGCCTACTTTAATATTCTGTTACTCACAAAATTATTGTTGTCCCATTTTCATATTTACATAGCTCATCGGAAAAAACCTCAGCTTTCCAATGAAAATAAAAAAAAAAAAAATACCCGAAGGGGTGAAAATCGAAAAATAAGGGTTGATTTTGAAAAAAAGGGGTTAAAAATTTTTTTTTTTAAATTTCGTATACATTTTTGAAAAGTACGTGAAAAATGCAATAAAATTCATTATAGATAAATTAAAATCCATTAACTTTTGTCATAGTTAAACGGATTTGAAAATGACAATGTTACCCTTAACGTCAAAACTTCAACCCCCTCTACTTTCTACAAATATTTTTTTAATGAGTTTATATTTTAGGGATTTATTACTATCATATAGGACAACAATTTACCAAAGTATGAAGCCAATCCCAGAACATTGACTTTTTGGGCTGGGGCGATTGAAAAAGAATCTCTCATATATATATATCGAGAGAGATCGATATTTTTTCGCATCTTGTTGTTAAAGGGTGTATTTTTAAGTGAAAAAGGCGTTTTCTAGATTTTTTTCTGAAAAACAAAGGATTGTAACATGTGTTGCTTTTCCTATAACTAAAATCAAGTAAACATATTTAAAATTTTTGTGACCTGCGAGCCTGGTCTCCAAAAGGCAGTCGGAAGGGTCTTTTATGGCTTTTGATTGCAAAATTAAAAATTGTTGGAATTTAAAAAATAATTGTATAAATATTATATTTGCAATGTACAGATTAAAACAATTACAACAATATAAAATTTTTTTCAAATACTATAAAGATTAGAGTTTGTACATATGTAAAACATGAAATTATATAACTTTTCCAAAAGCAAATTTTAATATTTAGACCTAAAAATTTATATCATTTGAATCGTCAAAATCTGCAAATGGTAAATTTAATATTTAAAAAATTATTTCTTTGGATTTAAATATTTTTTATTTTGCGCCAAAATACCATAAAATCTAAACGACCCTAAAATGGATAAAAAAAATTTAGTTGTCAATACACATGTTTCTTCAAATTTAAAGGAAATTGCAAGAGAAAGCTTATTTATTGAAACGGAAAATAATATACGCCTCCTTTTATAGTTTTCTGCGCGTAAAGGGCCCAAATTCGTCCTGAAAAATATCGATCTCTCCTGGAACAGAGTATATATATATAATATACCTTGTAACGCGGCATTTTGTCGCGTACAAATGACTTAAAAATAGTAAATTTAAATAAATTTTGTAAATAAACGACACCAGGGTGGGAATCCAGCCATAATGTCTGTAAAATATTATAAATTAAAAAAATTGTTTTCTTATGATACGCACTTCATTTTGTTTAAATAATAAATTCACGTATTAACAAACCAACTTGTCAAAGTCGTCAAATTAATAGTCGACTTGTAATAAATAAATTCGATTCTGATTTGTCCTTTCGTTCTGTTATGAAAACTCTCACGAGGCACTGAGAATTCTCGCCAGGTCACAAAACCGTTGAGGACATCACTATATCTATCATTGAAATTAGAAGTCATCAAGGGAAGAGCTTCCTGGTGTATATATTTGGATGAGAGTCACGAATATTCAAGAACACCAGGAAGACGAAAATGCTGTTTTGTTGACGATCTGTCAAATCAATACTGGCAGTCAATTTCCTATGGACTTCTCGCTTCAATCAATTTAACATCGGATAGTGCAGGTATCTGCGTTATCGACGACTGCATATCGATTATCGGTCGCTGGTATTATATTATTGAAAATTAATTGATCTCAATGACACCGAGAAGAGAGGCCGCTGTTTAGCGACGCTTTTGAGTTTGACTCGTCAGTCATTTTAATCTCATTCTCATCCTGATGTCAGTGCAGTATAGTTAGCTTTCCTCTATATTATTTTTCGTGAAACTACACGGAGAGAAATCTGCTGCGATTTGCGCATGAGCAAGTCCATAGGAATATAGCATGGACACTTCCAAGCAAAAACTATAAGATTCCATCTGAATATCAGGTGAGACTCATACAATAATACCTCGCTCACTTAGGATTTTTGCTTGAAAGCGTCTGTTACTATATTCCTAAGGACATGCTCATGCGTAAATCGCACCAGATTTCTCTCCGTGTAAATTAAAAATATAACAAAATTCTAATTGTGAGACGAGACTTCATCGTCGTCGTCAAAATGGCGGTGAGTCCCCAATTATTATTTGTGAGTCGTTTTCCTTCTGAATCGATCTCATAATTATTTAAAAATGAATAAAATAAAATTGAATCTTGTTAGTTGGCTTTCTGCCACTTCCATAAATTTAATAAATTTGAAGTGATAATTAATAAATAGTGTTATTGTAATAAATTTTGTCTAATTAATGGTGTTTATCCTTATTCGCCCCTCTCCGTGGTCTATTGTTGCTGTAAAGTAACAATGGAATTCCTGAGATGATTTTAGTTTTTCCTAATTAGAATTATAAAATTTACTTGTTGGATTAATTAACTATTTTTTTAGGTTTAGTTATTTTCCATAAAATAACTTGGCGTCTTGGCAAAATTAATAATTAAAAAGTTTAGATAACGAAGATTGTCTTGAAAATGCAATAAAAAATAATTTAAAATTAAAATATATTAAAATCTACGTTATAACCTATATATTATAACCTATATATATTAATGCTAAATGGAAGTGCTTGAAATTTCACATAACTGCTTTGTATGAGAGGCTTATAGCATCATGCAATGTGTGTTCCGTCTGATTTACCGCCTACGACGTTTACCTGCTAACTTCGATGCGACTTGTTGCACCGATGTTCTCTTGAATACGAAATGTCACGTTAACTTATAATCATCATCAATTTTCATTGCTTAAATAGTAAAAATATTTTTAAAAACTTAATTTTTTGATCATATTTATTTTGCAAAAAATTCTATTTTTATATTCATTCAATTGCGAACTCACTAAAAAATTAGTTAATAAAATAAAAGACATCATACAAAAAAATGTTGACAGTAAACTGTTTTTGTGTTAATACTAAAGCGATACGCGCATTTTTTTTAGAAGCAGTAAGCATAATGAAAATAATCTTGAAAAAAATAAAGATCGCTTCAAATTGCAAAATATGTTTATTTTCAATATTATATTTGAAAATTTTGACAATACCTCGCTCTCTAAATATTTTTTAAAATACAATATATGTATATATATATATATTAATACAAAAATGTAAATTTTCTATGCGACAAGTTTTCTTTAGCAGCAAAATTTATGATCGTGTGTTTACTAAAACACAAAACAAAAGTGTTATTTAGTTTATTGCGACTGTAGACGCATAATTTCTCCGTGTATTTTTGCGACTCGCATTTACCAACTGCGCCCTTACTTTTTCTACTCAGCCTTTCCTTAATTGTAAGCTAGAATTGGGCACTAACTCCGAGAGCTAAAAAATAATGAATAAATAAATTATAATATAAAGGCTTTCTTAAAATTTGCAAAAAAAAATCCCGAAGTTTTAAATAAAAATATTTTTCACAAAAATTTTATAAAATATAAAAAAACATATAAATGAATATAAATAAAAATAATATATTAAGAAATATATGTAAATAAATATAAATAAATAAAAGCAATTAAAAAGAAATATTTGCAGAATAAATATATTGAGAAATAAATTTCTATATTCTCAAATGTTTCATTTTATGACAAATAATATAGATACATAGTGACAAGTTAGTAAATGTATATAGGAAACTTAACAATTGAATTTCAGGAATTGTGAGAGGTTTGACACATTGATGGGATTTATATCGAATTCAAGTACTAATAGCTTAACCGCAGACCTTAACACGGCCTCGATCTCTCCGGAAACTATTAAGGCACCTGGATATTGCAAGAGCAGACTCTGTAACCAAAACCAAATTGTACTCAGCATCACGAGGACCAGTTTTCATTAGCATAGTTCGAAACCCTTCTTCTTCATCAGTGTGCATCTGATAAAGTTCAATGTGGAATGACCACACAACCGCAATCAGCATTTAAGTGCTCTTTTATCTAATTCCCAACAAAAGGAATCCCAGACAATGATAAAATATATCACTGCTAAAGCGGGTAGAAAATCCTTCTTTTTGTTAACATTCCCTTGACGGAGGAGGGGCAAAAGAGAGAGTGAGAGAGCGAGAGAGAGAGAGAAAGCGAAACGTACTTCAAAATCCTTTTTCCAATCCTTTCCTTTCTGCACTCTGCCTCGTTATATAATCTCGATAAAGCACCTGAGAAATCTTTTCATTTCTTTTTTAAAATAAAAAAAAAACTTTTCATTATATGTATATACCAACATTTTGCTGCATTTTAATTTTTTATTTGATAAATTTTTCAAAAATTGTATATATATTTATAATAATTAATATAATTTATAAAAAATGATGTATTATTCGAAAAAAAATAGTTATTAAATACTATATTTATTATTACAAATATATTTTTAATAAAAATTGCGAGAGTAATGTCATTTATATAAGATTTCAAGGAGAGGGTAATATAATTTAAAACCGTGTTAATCTGGCATCTGTTGAATCGGAATGAGATTGCGTTATAAATAATACATACAATCAATAAATCCAGATGACATACTTCCAACAAATAGAAATATTACTCAACTATTTTTCCATTTTTTAAACATTAATGTAACTATTTATTTTTTATATTCGTGAATCGTTTCCTAAACTATCGAATTACATAAGAAATTAATATAAATGTTTCTTAATTTTATAAATTTATTTCGATAATATAATTTAAAGGCATATATGCATAAACAAAGAAATGATTTAATTTTCACGTTAAAAAATTTTTATGGAATACTCTATGAGACTTTGAAAAATAAAGGTCGTGATCTCGTGGTTTAAAACTTGCTGTCGGCAGACAGTGTTAGTTTATTGATGTTGAGGAGATTTGCAAATTCGACAAATAAGGAAAAAAAAGTATGAAAAAATTAAATTATAATACAAATTTCAAAAATTGTAATAAACTAATAAAGATTTATAAAATACCAAAACAAAGTAAAAAAAAAATACTTAACATTGTTAAGAATAATACACATTTAAAATATTGATAATAATTGTAAAAAAATAATTAAAAATACATATTACAAAAAATAATAATCGTAAAACGATAAAATAATAATATAAAAATATATATATAATATTTATTGATAATATAAAAAAAGTCACATAAATTTTAATTTCTTTTCTTTAGCAAAGTTTATTACCTTTCTTAACAGTATTTCTACAATAAAAGGGTCCATATATATTTTACGAGAATGTGAGTTGAAATTCTTATCGTGGCTGAAGTTCAAAAATTTATGATCCTTCTCTCTGAGATTTGAATATGAGATAAGCAGAGATGCTTTACTGAATAAGCTGACCTAAGCCGAAAATATACACCAGTGTCCATCACTTATAGTTTGACACCTCGGATAAAAATTGACAAAAAAAAACCTTGGAATGGATTTAGCAAGTTATCACAAAAAAAAATTTTTGATATTTTTTTTTGTGAATTTCAATTCAACCCCATTTTCAAAAACCATGTTAATTGCTCTGTATAATATTATTTTTCGCCCATGGATCAAGAGTAAAATAAAATATAGAATAAAAGTGGAATTGTGTAAAATTGATAAAAAGAGATGCGTCAAATTAAAAAAAAAAAAACAAAAGAATTGAAATGTATGATAACATTTTTGTAAATTAAACAAATACATTAAATTAAATTTCAAAATGAATATTAAAAATACCAGAATTAAAAATTGAAATAATATTTGATAAATGTAAAATAATAAAATCACAATATCTCTTTACGCACAAAAATCATAAAAACCAGCATCAAGGTGTAAATATTATAAATATATATTATATTGCGCGACAAACTCTTTAATTATTTTTCGATATTAAAATGATAGAGTGAAAATGTATATATGCGATAAAATTTCATATTGTACATCAAACGTGTTATTAAATTAACTGACCCCCATTTCGCTCTCTTCCGGAAAGGACAAAGCTCTGATGTTCCGGTGCACTGCATTCGCAAGCGAGCTTTTCAAAACATCTGCTCTGGAGGACATTAAAGTTGCCATTATCAGTTTTATTAAAAGCAGCTTCATTCTATAACAATTTATAAAATAATACAACATTACATATAATTCATCAAAGCATAAAATATTGCTTTCTGATATATGTACATATATACAGTATCACTCAGTAGATTTTGCCCACCTTAAAGAATTTTAGGCGTTGCAAAAAGTTTTCTATTTTTGTTTCTAATAAAGATAAAACAATAAACAATGACTTTTTTTAAAGCTTATATTCTCTACTATTAGAATTCTGGTTATTAAACATACAGAAAAATTGCGATTTTTGTACCAAAATTGCCCCAGTTGATGATGTATAAAACAAAATGATGTAAAAGCAAAAAAAATCAATTTTTTTGGGTTTCTAGACCAGAAAGTCCCCTTAAATATTCTACTATATAACTTACACAGTCTTCAAAAGATACCTTTCAAGAGTTTGTAAAAAAAATTTTAAGTAGATATATTTAATATTTTATTTTTTATGATGATTTTTCTCGATGGGATACAAAAAAACCCCAATGTGCCAAGTATGCTACTCAGAAGAAGTGTGCCAAACAAAGGTTAATAACACAGGCCAACAGTGATTTTGGTGCGGCAAATGTCAGACCTGTTTTTGATATGTTTTTTCATGCTGAACACAAATCCGTAAACGAAAAGTTCCTATCAGCTCTAGTTTTTGAGAAAAATGGGTTTTAAATGTTCAAAAATCGCGTTTTTGGCTAACTTTGAGTACCTCTAGCATTGAAATAAAAGGTTTCCTTCCACTTGGGCTTAAATTGAGGCTTAATGTTTCAACTATTATCCCCAAAAATGACCTATGTTGCACCATAATCTTAAAGTCATTTGTTATTATTTTTGATTCGCAAATATTAATTTTGTAAAAGTTTGAGCGCGTACCTCTAGCAAAGAAAAAAGGATCATAGAACCTTTTATTTGAATTTAAAATAAAGTTTGAACTTTAGACTACAAGCCCTAAAAATTATATTATTCACTAATGACCTCAAAATTTTTGGTAACTAGTATTTAACTACTGTACTTATTTGGTAATATTTGAATAACTCTAGTCAATAAAATCAAAGTTCAACCTTCTTGTTGAGCTTAAATTCAATTTATCCCTTGACTGTAGTTCATAAAAATTACATTGCTGCACCTTAACCTCAAGGACTAGATGTACGCGCTCAAACTTTTACAAAATTAATATTTGGGAATCAAAAATGGATAACAAATGACTTTGAGGTTATGGTGCAAGATAGGTCATTTTTGGGGATAATAGTTAAAACATTAATCTTCAAATTAAGCCCAAGTGGAAGGTTCTACGACCATTTGTTTAAGTGTTAGAGATACTAAAAGTTAGCCAAAAACGCCATTTTTGAACATTTTAAACCCGTTTTTCTCAAAAACTAGAGCTGATAGGATATTTTCGTTTACGGATTCGTGTTCGGCATGAAAAAACCTATTAGAAACAGGTCTGACATTAGCCGCAACAAAAAAGTTTGCTAATTTTGTTGGCCTGTGTAATTAACCTGCTAGTTTCAATATCGAAATATTATAAAAAATTATAATAGAAATATTTTTAAGAAAAAGCTTATTTCTCCAACTTGAAATTCTATTCTATTAAAAAGAAAGGTATACATGTGCTTCGTAATTCTCAGGGGGATGAGAAAAAAAAAGTACATAGAGAAGAGAAAAATAGGACGAAGGGGGGGATGGAGAGATGAAGAAGAATTGGTGTTCGTGTATATAGAAGAGAATTGAGGTCAATGAGAGTGAATTAGGGTGAATTAAAATAAATCTCCGTGTTTGGGGTTGAATTGAGGGGAACAGAAGTTACGAGAACTAAGCATTGTATTCACAGATAAATGAAGGAGAAAATTAACAAAAGCAGAAGCAAGGATCCATCAGCTAATTATAATTTTAAAGTGCACTAAAATTAATTAAATTATACAAGTTGAAAATTATTTCATACAATTTTTATTAGGTAATTTTATTGTATAATTAAATTCCTCTGTACGAAACTTACTATATATAATAAATGTCATTTACCAATAAATCAATGGGAATTAATTTCAAAATTTAATTCTAATTACATTTAAATTACAATAGAATGTACAAAGTTAATAAATACAATAGAATTTGATAAATTTTGTGTAATTAATTGAAACTAATTTATTGACTACCACGCGGGGTAGAAAAGAGATAAAATTCTTTCTAAATGGAAACTTTAAAAGAAGTAGATAACTTTCATAATAACGTTTTTTTTTTTTTATTTCAGTTCTTTCTTTTTTTTGAAAAATCCTTCAATTTGAATAATTACCTTTTTTATTTTAATGAACCTAATTAACTGAGATCATAGGGAAGTTTTTCAACCATGTGGAAAGCTCCTGTCAGCATCTAATGACAGGGACAAAGAGAAGAAATCAGTTGGACAAAGAGCTAAAACGATATTTCAATTCTCATTCTTTCAACTTTTTTTTTCAACGCGCGTTATCCACACATATACAGAGAGAGCGACCGAGAGAAGATAGAAATGGGGATTGAAAGAGGGTTGATTGTAACTGGTCGAGAAGACTCGGAGAGAAATTGCATTTTCCCTGGCACACGAACACTGTTATACGTTATTTGATTAAAAAAAGAAAACGATTCCTATTGGAAAAAATTATTTATCAAAGTCATGCCAGATTTGAGCGCAAGCAAACTCACTATTTGAATGCTTATCTTACTTATATATAGTTATGATTAATTTCCATTTTTGATTTTTGATGAAATACTATATTTTTATTTTTAAAAAAACCACTCAAAAAAAAAATTTAATGTTCAAAAAGACAAGGAATATTAAATTTTCAATAATATATCAAGAGAAAAAAAAATATAAAAATAATTGAAAAATAAATAAAAATTATTCTCATTTTTTCTCAATTCAAAAATTCTTTGAAAATAATTCAAAAATTCTTTTATACATTTTCAATAATATAAAGTAATTGTAAAAAATGTAACAAAAAAATAAAAATGGAAAAATTTTGAAAAAACATTACAAAAATCTTCAACTATTTTATTGGAAATTTTCTAAGAAATTTGTTTGAGAAAATATTGCATAAATTTTTCAGTTGAATGATATTTTCTTTCAGTCATAATTCATTCTGCGTAAATATCATCCATTTACAAGAAGGGAGGGAAATTGTTCTATTTTATATATATGAAACTATGATGTTTTTCCAAGTTTATAAATCTATGACCCTGGTAACATAAAATGCACGAGTCACGAACTATATATACATGTAAATTATTCTCTTTTATGGGAGTTTTGCATTTCATTTTTTTTTTCTTTTTTTTACAGAATTGTTAAAATACGGTCACGATAAAATCGAACATTTTTATGAAATCCGATAAAACAAATCACAGATTTATATCTCGCGAGTCTGCTTAGATATCTCTATTTCCAGGCAACTGCTTCAGAATTTGATAGCTCAAAGGAAATGTCGCTTGAACTTCTTTTCCTGCGACTGAATACATTAAAGAACAAATTTTGAGACCTTATAGACAGAAAAGCTGATTGAACATTCAAATGACATGTCTTAGAGGATCTTTTTAAGAAGAAAAAAAAACCTTTAAAAATCATGTTCAATTCTTTTCATAGAAAATCTCTGACAAAATATGATTCAACACACTGAAAATGAATGGGAATGAAGAGTTAAAATAAATTTCAAATAGAATAAAAATTCAATATGAAAAAAAGGTAAAAAAAAGTATACTGAAAATGTAGCATCAAAATTAAAAAAATATATGAAACTAAAAAATTCAAAAGAACAGATGAAATGATACGTATATGAACATAGCCATCATAATTTTTAATAATTTATAGATTGACAAAAATATTACGTTCATTTGAACGCTCAGAACTGTTGGCTCATTTTTTGTTAAAAAAACTTAATGAATTAAAATACTTATTGCTTAAGATACACTAAAAAAAAATTTATTTCACTCAAATAATCGCGGTTACTTGGCTATTATGAAATAAATATTTATTTGATCAAATCATTTTTATTTGAGTTAATTAAGTGGTATTTGTTTTAAAAACAGAAATTATTGGTTCAAATACAGTTTATTTAATTCAAAAAAAATTATTTGGTTCAAGTAAAAATTATTGTTTGATAATAGTCAAGAAACCGATTATTTGAATCAAATAAATTTTTAACCAGTATAATCATATTCTTCAATTTAATATTTCGTTTTTAAAAATATTATTTTCATTTAAGAATAAATAAATATATATTCATTTAATAAGAAAATATTTTCTTTGCGGTTTATGATGAAAATGTATAATACAGTTTATAAATATAAATAATGAATTAGAAAAATTAAATAAAAAAAATAATAATAAAAAATCATAAATTCTTGAAAGAACTAACGAGTGTGTTATACTGACATCATTTATGGCAATTAAAACCCAATTAAAATAAATCTAATAATAGTAAACACTTGCTTTTAACGTGTTAACACTTTTTTTGTCGCTTGTAATTAGTAGATGTTTTTTAAAGAGACATTTTAAATGTACTTACTTTGATGTCAGAGGTAATTTCATCTTCGTAGATTAGTTTCTGAGACATAAAACGGCAAGAGTACACCATCAACTGATGAGAAAGAAGGCTCAAAAGGTTAAGAATGGATTACTAATTGAAAAATTTACTTTTTTACTTCACACGATAATGTTACCGTTATTTAAAGAAACTTTTTCTCTCGAGATATAATACAATATAACTTTCATACCCAAAAAACCAGTTTCATTAAGATACAATTTTTCAATATTTATGCCAATTTTTATAACAAAATTAGTATGTAACAGCTTTCCTAAATTTTCTCAAAATATTCTTCAAAATTCACAATTTTTAGGGTTCCGCTTATGCAGTGAACCAAAACGGAACCCTTATGGTTTCACTCATATGTCCATCCACAAAATACTGTCCCCCCCCCCTAAAATCTAACCATTTTAACGGATTACACGGAGAAAAAAGATTTCTTTTATAAAGTAACTTTTACTACTTTCAGAGTAAAACTGGACCAACTCGAAGTTTCTGCGCATCTCTGGCAATTTTTACTCCAAAAATAGTAAAATTTACTCTAGAAATAGTAAAACTTACTACGGAAACAGTAAAATTTACTACAGAAATAATAAATTTTACTATTTTTGGAGTAAAAATTGCCAGAGATGCGCAGAAACTTCGAGTTGGTCCAGTTTTACTCTGAAAGTAGTAGAAATTACTTTTTCTTTTTTTCCGTGTAGGCTCAAACATAGTATACATACGTATTTTTGTGAGTAGATTAAAGAAAATTATAGCGATCACGATAGGAATTAAATTTAATATAGTTATAGTACAAAAACTCGAAATTTCGGAAAAAAGTAGGTGTATTTTGTGCTAGAATTTGCAATGAAATCGTCTGTCTAAGAAAAATTAAATTTTTTTGGGGATCTTTTCATGGTTATGATTGCTATTTTGTTGGTTAAAGGTGTCTTCCTCTACTCCGATCTGGGTGTCAATTTTTTTCTACACTTTTAGGTATGTTTTGTGATAGAAGTTGCAATGAAATCGTCTGTCTAAGAAAAATTAAATTTGTGTGGGAACATTTTTATGGTTACACGGAGAGAAATAGATGGTACGGGGTACTATCTAGATAGTACCAGGTACCATATTTGATCTTACATATGTGACGCTCCACGAGAAAAGGGACCTATCGCGACAAAAAATTAATTTCCAGTTTTATATGCGAATCGATAGTATTTGAGTTGCTCTTTCATATAGAAATGTCAAAAATAATGTTTTTCTAATTACTTTTTTTGTAATAAAGCTTTAAACATGACCCTGTCAATCGCGTTCCAGCACGGACTACGTAAAACCATCCCCACCACCACTACACTAGTATACTTGTTGTATCCGTGAGACGTAGGAACGATGTAGTAGTAAGGTAGTGGGGCTGATTTTCGCTGGCGCGTCTCAGCCAATCAGAACGTTCGACTTTAAACGCCTTTCCTGTATAATTCTGTTTTGTCGCGATAGGTCCCTTTTCTCGTGGAGCGTCACATATACGGACAGCAATCTAGATTCTATCAGTTACTATCCAGATTGTATGGAGTAACATCTTGATTGAAGTGGATAACATAACTATACTTTTTGTAACATCTTTGATAGTACCGAGTAGCATAATGATAGTACCGGATAACATCTACTTTTTACCATCTTAAGATCATAAGTTCTTACCATCTATTTCTCTCCGTGTATGGTTGCCTTTTTGTTGGTGAAAGGTGTCTTCCTCTACTCCAATCTGGGTGTCAATTTTTTTCTACACTTTTAGGTGTATTTTGTGATAGAATTTGCAATTAAATCGTCTGTTTAAGAAAAATTGAATGTTTTTGGGAACATTTTTATGGATATGGTTGCCTTTTAGGTTGTAAAAGGTGCCTTCCTCTAATCCAATCAGGCAACATTAAAGCACATTTCGTCATAGAAAAAATGACAAAAAAATTCAATTTTTCTTAGGCAGACTATTTTATTGCAATTTCTTGCACAAAATACACCGAAAAGTGTAGAAAAAAATTGACACCCAGATCCGAGTAGAGGAAGACACCTATTAGCACCATTAAAGCACGTTTCGTCAAAAAAAAGAGAGAAAAAAATTCAATTTTTTTTAGGCAGACAATTTTATTGCAATTTCTTGCACAACATACACCGAAAAGTGTAGAAAAAAATAAGCAGCCAAGTCCGAGTAGAAGAAGACACCTATTAGCACCATTAAAGCACTTTTCGTCAAAAAAAATGTGACAAAAAAATTTAATTTTTCTTAGGCAGACTATTTTATTGCAATTTCTTGCACAAAATACAACGAAAAGTCTAGAAAAAAATTAGCAGCCCGATCCGAGTAGAGGAAGACAACTTTTAGCACCATTAAAGCACGTTTCGTCTTAGAAAAAGTGACAAGAAAATTCCATTTTTCTTAGGCAGACTAATTTATTGCAATTTCTTGCACAAAATACACCGAAAAGTGTAGCAAAAAATTAGCAGCCAGATCCGAGTAGAGGAAGACACCTATTAGCACCATTAAAACACTTTTCGTCAGAGAAAAAGAAAAAAAAACATTCAATTTTTGTTAGGCAAACTACTTTATTGCAATTTCTTACACAAAATACAACGAAAAGTCTAGAAAAATTTAGCAGCCCGATCCGAGTAGAGGAAGACACCTTTTAGCACCATTAAAGCACGTTTCGTCTTAGAAAAAGTGACAAGAAAATTCCATTTTTCTTAGGCAGACTATTTTATTGCAATTTCTTGCACAAAATACACCGAAAAGTGTAGAAAAAAATTAGCCTTTTAGGTTGTAAAAGGTGCCTTCCTCTAATCCAATTTCTACAATTTAAGATGTATTTTGTTGTAGAATTTGCAATGAATTCGTCTATCTAAGAAAAATTGAATTTTTTGTGGAATTTTTTTATGGTTATGGATTGATTTAACAGGAACTTTTTTTTGAGTGTAGGGTATCTGTCGGAAATATTGAAACAGCCTTTTAGGACACTGGTTAGTTTCTTTGAACACTAATCATATCAAAAATAAGGAAATCTAGTCAGTACCCTATCAGTCCCACATTTTAATTTCTGCACGAATGGTGCATTGTTTCTACTTTGTATAAATAATTTTACCTAAAATTTTTTGTCTTACAATTCATCTACACATATTAAATAGAATTTTTAAAGTTTGGAACAAAAAATATTATTTTTGTAATTTCGATAAAAATCATAAATTTTATTGTTCAGTTAGTTATCTAATGTTAAATAGATTTTTATTTTATTTGATAATCTGATGAATGAAAAAGCACAATGCTGAGGAAGACAATAATTTCTCTTTGAGTATATAGGAAGTGCTTCGTTAGTGAATCAATTAAATAAACTTCGAAGGTACTGTCCAAATGATTCAACGTTACAATTTCCCTTTGTGATTATCTTGCGACTTTGTTGTACCGATTGTAAAGGTCCTTTTGATTTAACCTTTGTGAACTTCCTTCAGTCGCATAGAGAAAACTGAGAATCCACAGACAACATTCAGATTTTTCAAAAAAATTACTAATAATAATAATAATAATAATAATAATAATAATAATAATAATAATAATAATAGTAATAATAATAATAATAAGAATTATTATTATTATTATTATTATTATTTTTTTTTTTTTTATAATTATTGTATCATTTTAATTAATATTTTCTTATTTTGTGCATTAGGGGTCAATTATATAAATCGTATAATCGTTTTCCACCTTTAATGAAATTCAATTGTTTTTCACCGAAAATTCAATTACATTTTAAAAAGTCATTTTTTTAAAGAAAACATTAACCTTCATTAAAATTAAAAATTGGTAAATTTTGATAAATTAATTAATATTTTTGTGCTATCAATATTTTCGACTAAAAATTATTTCAAACTGTTATTAATTCGTTTAATAACGAATCGGCGCACTACAATTGGTCAAAAGTGTCTAATTTAAGTTTAGAGAGTAAAATTGAATTTATCTGATAATTAGTTATTTTTAACTAATACAGATTTAGAGATAATTTTGATTTTTCAAATGTATGAGGGTTGTTTTTTATTTTAAAACTTTATTGATTATAATTTTAAATATTAAAATCAAATAATAAATATAAATGTATAAATATATTTTTCGCTATAGCAAATGGATTTCATGGGAAACATTTGTATTGAGAAATTTGTATTTCAAGAAGGTATAAAGAAAAAGAAAAATAGGAAGAACTAAAAAGAAGAAAAAGTAAAAACTTGTATGGAGGAAAGGAAATGAGAAATAAAATTGGTGAAGGTGAAGGTTGAAGTGTCTGTCGGAAAACCACATAACATATTGTTAGTAACTGAGTAGCCCTTCTGGTTTTCTTGTGTACCTTTATATATTTATATATATGTAGTTCGATATATTTCTTATCGCCAGAAACCTAGGGACTGTATTTCACACAACAGTGTATTGTTAATATACACATCACGTAGTTTTACGATAGGTTTCCTCAAGTTGGACGATGCTGATCGGACAAGGAGTTCAATCCCATATTTTAAGGGATAATCTTCTTTTCTGTCCCCTTATGGCTCGTTTAACACGACCAGTCCCTACCGCATACTTTCTATATCAGATCAGCTCGGTCAGCCCTGATATTTTACAAAAAGGACATATTCTCAATTATTCGACACTCTTCCAATCGAGCCTTCAAGAGTGCTATTTTTATTTTCAAACTTGCGACGACTATTCATTATTCGTGAAAAATAGATACAAAAAAACGAACAGTTAAAAAAAAGTATGGGGAAAATATAGGAGTATGGAAGGCAAAACTATTTAAATTTCTCCAATTTTTTTTTTTCTAAAATTTTAAACTTTTGGCAAAAACCCGTTAAAAAATAGGAATTTATTTTTTTTTTAAATTAGTTTTTTCATCAAATTTCTCAAGTTTCAAAGTTTTAAAAAAGTGTGGGGAAAGTATGGGGAAGTATGGGAGGAGTATGGATGCGAAAATTATTTAATTTTTTTAAAAATTAACTTTTTTCGTCGAATTTTTGAAAATTCTAATTTTTGGCAAAGTCCTTTTA